CTGTGTACTGATCTGAGAGGATGTCAAGGATTAAATGCTAAGTTTGACCGTAAACCACGTGCAGTGTAATTTAGTTTTCGTAACGGAGCGTCTGCATGTGCCTTTTAAAGACTTACACGTGAAGGATGCATCGTTTCGAAACTTCCCATTCATCCTGACACCATAAGAGTGAAAGGTAGGACTCCAGGCAAGCACTGCCGGACAGCATGGCTGAGAAGGGGCGATTCCCCACCCATTACTCACATCGGAGCAGCCGTTTCCGGAGGAGAAGCACTTGATGAAAGGCTTACCCACAGGTCCTTGGCTTTGCTTTCTTAGTCAGGTAGCTGCTTCGTATGTTGTCTAGAGCACTCTTGTGCACAATCGACTGCATGACACCTCTTATCGGTGCAGTGCTATGCCTGATCTCAGGTCAGATCTAAGACAGTCGCAAAAAGTCCTTCAGATGTTTAGCTGTGAATCCTAATAATCAGAATCCACAGGCACTCTAAAAACAGAAATAAGTAATGAAACAGGGATGCTCCTTCATTGACAAAAAAATGAAACCTGGCAGGATACGAGTGCTATTTCCTCATTCAGACACATGAGGGCACTCCAGTGCCACGAGTTCCACTGACCTCCTGTACGTATTAAAACTCCAATATTGACATCAATGTTCGATGGTAAATAAAATATACTGTCATATATAATTCAGAGCATGGATGAGTCGACAGTCATCTGAGCAATCAGTTATATCAGAAAGGATAACTGCGACCCTTGGCCCCGGATCACTGGATGTGTGGAGAACATCTCACCAAGAAAGGTGTGAGGAACCGAGTGTACCCAGAAGGAAGGCAGGCAGATGAGGAGACAGCATAGTGGGAACGGCAGCGTGGAACCCACCAGGCCACAGTTCCTCCCACTGAGCCGCTGCGCTCCGGCGGTACCGCTAATTTGTATATTCATACCGTCCGATGGCATTCTGTGCAAACAATGCAATTCACCTGACGCAAGCAAGTCAAGGCATTAGGCGTAGTATATTAATACGGGGCGTGATTTTATCACTGGTGTGACAAGAGAGGGTTTTATTATCCCCAGAAACACGCCCTGGAGGATAGACCTGGAAGAATTACCTTTAACTGCTACAGTGAGATATTTACGCCAGTGGATGTGGTTTCCAGTGGCTGACTGCAGCAGCCCATGTTTGATATGTGCAGTGCGGCAGCTGATGCTCCGGCCTCAGCGCTGTGTCAGCACGTGGCTCACCTGGACAGGAGGCTCTCATGCAAATACTCCCAGCACCGTCAACTCAAACATCTTAGATGTCTGTTGCCGTGGAGACAGTCCAAAGTAGCATGTGCTTGAGGAAACCATGGACTATAAAGTGACTGTGTTCTTCCGTACTTTTAGCTATAGACACCTGTTGACATTAAGGACCGCGTCAGCTGTTCTGACTAATGCCGGGGAACCTTAAGTGGATCTCAGACTGCCTACTCGGCCATAAATTCTCCAGCACTGTGTGCAGTGATGCCTCAATATTTAGCAGAGATACTTTCGGTGGTCTGTTTAGCAGGAAACCTGCGTACGGTTTTAGGAAGATGCACCCCACTGTCACTTTGGGAAGCTGCGGAAAGAGTGTCAGTCTTGCTATTTATACCTGCTGTGCTCCCGGGGAGCAATGAGTCACACAAGATTGGGAATTGACTAAATTCTGCTAGTTCCCCCCCCCCTCCCCCCTCTGCCACACACCCTGAAGCCCAACAAATATCTTCACAGCACATATAAAGCACCCATGGGCCAGGAAGACCCGGAGAGCTCGCTGGACAGCCTAAGCCATCTCTGTGCAATGTTTCACCTGACCAGAGCGACTTTTGAACTTCCTCGTCGTGGCTTCTGTCGCTGTGCCATCAAGGGGCCATTTGTGCCACATGAATGCGCCGGTTCTCTCGTTTGCTTACTGTGTCTGTCTGTTGCCTGCGCAGGATTTGTTTACTCCTATACCAGGCTGTGTGCAGGACACCAGAACATGAATCCACTGGCATCCTGCCGGCAGACACGGAGAGTGGAAGAAATAAAAAGCGCAGAAGAGAGGACGGACATCAACCCCCCCCCCCCCCCCCCGCCGCTTCATGCCTCGGCACGCGGCTCGGCGCGCCGTTGCCATGGGAACACAGCTGCAGCACTTCAGCCGAGCTGTTTTGTAAACACTCTCGCATTTCTCAGTTGTCGCCCCGGCCCATGGCGATGGACGGGCGAAAGCTCACGCGGTGTCATCGCTGCTGTTCCAGGAGGCCATGCACCGCTCCTCAGCCGTGAGAACATCAGTGTTTGTAGTCGCACGTCCGCAATGGTGCGACCGCACTAGAGGAGCATGCGGATGCATTACGGATGGGGTCTTTGTCTCACATGTGTAGTATTTATGGGCATAACTAACAGCCATGTTTATATCCAGGGTAATAATGTCTAACCACGTCTGGGTTAGGGTTTTGTCACCCGGCATCTTCTACAGGGTCACACAAGAACATCCTTACAGAGCAGACAGGCACCTGTGGCTTGCGTGGTCAACAGCGGTCAACAGGGCGGCTGCTCCAGAATTCTGTATGTGTGCCTGCACATGGTAGCTGGTGGAGGTCTACATGGGAGGTCACATGGGTGGTCACATGTAAACCCCCGCCATAGACTGACGGTGCATCGCTGCTGGTGACATCATCCATTCAGCTGCTTCCTCACTGGCTGATGCACGGTCCCTTTTCCAGTTCTTTGGCCGCCTGATGGCTGTCCAAAGGTCACTCTCCAAGCCCACCGGGGAGGCGCTGTTCCTTTGGAGCAGGTAACCTCCCTGATGAAGACTGGGGAGGGTAGGGGGTCGCGGAGGAGCTGTTGGGCACAGGAGGGGGGAGATCGGTGTCCTGCTGAGAGTCGGCAGCCTCAGGAGTCCAGGTCGTCACAGGAGTCATGCGGGGCGGTCTGGCCAAAACGAGCACGGGACCTGCGCTCACTATTCCTCTTTGCTGTCGTTTATCTGTGTTGTTATTCGGTTTCAAACTGCAACACCGAAAGGTACAGTGTGAAGCTAACAGGACACGCACTGTATGGTCGTAGTCTCGGGCCACTGAAGTCTCCATGGCCTCTGGAGAGAAGGGAAAAGGCAGGAAGGTGTGGCCATCGGCTCCGACTTAAGGGAGCAACTGGGGAATTTGGTGAATAGATTCTTTGTTTCTTATTCAGCTGGCTGCAGCATTGATCTGCCAGTGAAGCATAATGATGTAATCAGCGAAGAACATGCATCTCTGTGGGTGTTTTGCGTCTCGATGTCCTTTCTCTTTATGTGTCAGACATTTATCAGAGCCAAAAGTCTCTGCCTGGCCCAAACTTCAGCCCATATACAGAATGTAATGTTAGATGAAAGTTTCCTTCATTGATTCATTTGCAAACTCCAAGAAAATGCATCGAGCTCAGAATGATTATTTATTACCTGCTTAACACACAGTTTCATCTAACTTGCCCTACTTAGGTTCCAATTTTACAATTTGCCCATTTTAGTGCCTGGATATTTTTACTGAAGCAATTTAGGTTAAGTGTATTGCTCAAGGGTACAACAGCAGAACACCTACCGGGAGTCTGATTGTGCATGTCGCTCCTAAGCCCCCACGCCACCTGTTAGTCCACCGGACGCTGCCACATGTTTATTTCATGGGATCAGCTATCTCCAGATTGGTTGTGGGTTGGTGTTCTGGATGGTGTTCAGTGGTTCTGGGCTCACCTACGCCTCACCTTATAAATGCAACAACAGCTCACAGTCCCAAGACCTTCTAATCTGAAGCAATCGATTGGTTGTACCCACAGGTACAAAATTACCCTGGCAAGAAAAATAAATGCTTGTGTCAAATCAATCTCTGAAATGCTCAAACTGATTTATAGTGACATATATTGATATCAACACTAAACTGAGTTTACTGTTAATAACAGGTCTGTCTGGAGACTTGCAACAGAGGTGACTGTGTGCTCAGAGGATAATGTACACGTATAAATATGTATGAGATAGCCTGTTATATATTCTGTTTCTAGGCTAAAATACATATTTCATAGAACATAGTATAGACGTATGACCAAACGCCGTTTCCGTAGGAAAATAATTTTTTTGTGCATTTTTTTCCCCAAGGATTTGCAGAACCAAGTTCCCGGCGTTTCCAGCTTCAGCCTTCGAGATCCTTACGGTCCCCGGCGCTGTCCGGCATCGCATGTGGGAAAGGACTGAACGCCTCTAACAATCGCCGCAATTCAAGCATGTCTGGTACTTAAGCTATTTGAAATCATAAAGCACCACACAATAAAAATAAATTGAGAGGGGCGCCACCTTCCTCGCGGCTTGTGTCGCCCGTATTAATCACAGTGAAATGTCAATAACGATTTTACTGGTACGGCTCTGTTCAGAGACGCAGTGGAGGAAACAGGCGAAAAGAGAAGCGGGGAATGATGAGCGATAGTGCATAAATGTTTGTAGTTAACACCTAAGAGGAGCTGAATATACACATTTGCGTCGCCGATTAAATAGATGTTTCAGAGATACACGCGTGAACGCGCTTGCGCCGCGCTCCTGTAGCTCGTATGCTTTTACGTGATTAGGGTTCAAATACATGGGAGGCCTTTCATACGGTACTCTACACGATTTTTACCATGCATACAAAGAATTACATTGAAAGGCAACCCAGATGCACGAATACAGGAACAACTTTTCTTTCAGTCCACAGTGTCCGCATAACTTATTGGTCGCCTGAATCTAATTATCCACAGGAAATAAAGGATATTTTCAGGAGTGAATCAAATATGCGTGGTTATGTTATTAAAAAATATATTCGCCCGTTCATTCTGTATATTGAACTTTCATACTGATTTCCGTACCGGCTCCACAGCAAATAAGTCCCAGCCAATGTCACTGGCTACACCAGGGCAGCGCGCGAAGTAGCGCAAATACTGCACCCATGCCGTCGTTACCATTAAATGCTGATGTTATAATTAGTTTGTAGTCGCTGCAGTCGGATGAAAGCGGGAGTGGCAATGTCCCCAAGCTTTAGCCCTTCTCCGTAAGATCACCCCCACCCCTCTCTATCACTCTCTCCCTCCGTCTTGCACAGCATAGCATGAGAGCGAAAAAACAGCTTATTCATTACACACGACGGAACAAGGGCGATCGTGCGAGGTATTGTGATATTCCTTTATATCTTTATGGATGTTTGCAAGAATACAATGAGGTACTGCGGGTCATTGCTGTCGTTTAGGTGGCAATTTTGCTGAAAACTGAAGTGAAAAGGGGGGTTCAGTAATCCAACCACCTGCACTACGTGTTTTCCAAGCTGATAAAATAGCCTGTTCTGTTATCTCTCATTCTGGGAACACTGGATGCTGGCTCACTGGAGTTCAGATTTATAACCGGGGGGTTACGTTTTCACAACAGAACCTGTCGGTTTTGCATGTCTGTCAGTCTCTGTTAAATGAATGATTATGTTTGTTTCATTGTTTAATATTACATGTCGCAGATGTATAAAATGGCTTACAGAAAGTGGTGCATCATTCCCACAGCCAGCTGTTTTACATGCATCTGTATGTATACAGAGAAGACATGGTAATGCGCTTGTATTTGATTTTGGATTTTTGAAAAAGAAAAACATTAGTGACGCGGGGTTTCTGTCCAGCGTTCACTGCTACAGAAATAAAAAAACAATATAAAAAAACGTTTATTTAAAAAGCGATGCGTGTCACAAAAATACATCTCGATATCATTGCAGGTTAAGTAATATAGGGATGTTGATGGCATGATATTTAAAAATGCGTTAGTGTGACAATATTTGTGACTCAGAGAGAGGGAGAGGGAGAGAGCGAAATGGAGAGATACGGAGAGAGAGAGATGGAGTTTGGGAAGCGCTCCGGTCCGATTCGCGGGATGGCAAATGCGCAGCGCAGCACTGGCTCCGAGGTCCCGCTCCGCTAAACTGCACTTAGCCGCCACGGAAAGATGGCTGATGCACAATGGCTGATAAAATCTCAACCGTAAATACACCGGCATGCACACCTGTGTAACCGTATATACATTTTATTAATGCTAACAGAATAAAACATAGCGTATGTGTTATTTGTCACGATCAATATTCGGCTATAGTATGGACATTATAATTGTTTATTATTAATATCAATGACAGACTAAAACAATGTAAATATGCCCCACACACCCCTTTTTATATAAATATACACTTCAGTTTAATGCCTCAGTCATTTTTCTAAACTTGGTAGCCTATAGGACGCCGGGATGTCGGCTTGATATCTAATGTGTACGGGTGGTAATGTAATCTAGCCGGGGATGCAGGCGTCGGCTTTAAGGTAATACGGGCAAATACCCATGTGATGCGAAATACCGAGACCTTTGATTAATCACGATCTGAGGAAACAGTTTGATACTGTAGGGAAATACAGCCCATCAAACTGGAGGGTTTATTATTATTATTTTATTTTATTTTTTATAAAAACGACAGCACGTTTCACGGTTAACCTCCCGGACTGAAGAGGCCGTGAGCAGGATCTCGGGGTAGCTTTTCGGCTCTGAGTTTCATGATCGTACCAGTCCTACCGGAACGGCAGCGGGATCCTGCTTTTGCGTGATCACTGGCAGTACCGCGGCTCCTGGGTGCGACTGTAATAAGAAGCTCAGGTGACAGGCTGCCTTCAGCAGGTGGCTGTGACCAGGCCCACCTGTTACTCCTTTAGTTTTGTATCCCTGCTTGTCACACGGAGGTGCCAGGCAGTGTGCAGTAATAGGCTCTCTCTTCCTGGGCCTCGCTTCCTGTCGCCTTTGACTGAAGGGTCTGTGCTGTTTTATTGACAGCCCTGAGGGACAGGTTACAATTAGAGACTGTCGACGATGTGGAGTGAGGGACTTTATTCTGGTAATAAGAACCCACCAATGTGGGGGGGCTTTGACTCAGGGAACGTGCATGGTCTTTGGAGAGACAAGGGCGGGGGTCTCTGAAAAGAAGTTCAGGTTTCAAAACCAAACATTTTTATCCCAGTTAGTTCAAAATTACATATGAAAGGAGAGATTTATGTAGGTGTTGACTTGGCACATTATTCTGCATGAACAGTGACGGCAGATAGATTAGAGATGGCCTCTCTGTCACCCGTTTCTCTGCTCTTTTCTAGTGTAGCACCCCCACACTTTCCCTTTGCAAACCTGAGCCATCTCCTACAGCTGGATGGTTTCCTGACCCCCCACCCCCTCCACGCACAACTGGCCAGAGGAAAAAAGTGGCCTGACTGTGCCAATAGTTGAGTCTATTTTTGTCTTTCTCATGCAGATCACTCATGGGGTGGGAGCGAGAGAGCATGCACACGCTCTGTCTCTCTCTGCATGTTAGCAGATATCTGCATTATTAATGAAAGAATTAATCTGCCATCCAGGCGCAGATGAGATGCAAAGAGTTGTTGTGGCCCCGGCAGACACTGGCCCCAGGAGGACCGACACGCCAACCTTCTCATCCCGCAGCAGCTTCCGTGGCCGGCTGCTGGGAGTCTCGAATTTCCATGTCTCTCAGCCCCCCAGCACCTCGGAATGGCGGTCGATTTGCGGGGTGATGCAGATCGCTGCTGGATTACCAGCAACGCTGTGTTGTTACACATTTAATTTGCATGCAGTTGCATGCATTAGTGTAAAACGCATCTAGCCCCAAGTGCATTGTGGGATTTTAATTTTTTTTTTGTGGGGGGGTGATGGGCACAAGAGGACCTATAATTTATATAGGGTGGACAACCTTATTAAGAGCCAAAGATATGTTCCGAATCAATGAGTGACAGAGGAGGGGGCCAATCAGCTTTCAGCTGGGGCCAGTACCCCATGTGGCCCCGCCCCTGCTGCATGCACAGTGGTTGTGAAACTGTCCATGGGGCCGTCTCTTTGGCAGCCCATGTGGTTCCCTTTTCTCTTCCACTGACATGAACATAGGATGCTCACACAAATGGTGGAAGTGTTAGAATAGCGCCACCTAGTGTTGAGAGAGCAGAGTATGCTCCCAAGCCTTTGAGTAATGCTTGGGGGAGCAGTGGTCTTTAACTTCTGCTCCCCCAAGCCGTGGCCCACATACGGACCTTGGAATGCAGTGCCTTTCATTTGCGCGTGTTGGCAAGGTGATGCGCTTTGATCACGGGGGAAGAATGGCCAATGATCAAATTAACTGTGGCTGTTTATCCTCTGGTCCCTCCCTATTGGACAGTAAATAATGTCTGATTACACTTACAGTGGGGCGCGCCTAATTACCCTCATTACGGTAATGAATCAGCAGGGGGCTGACAACACAAGGATGGGCCCTTGAAGTATTTAAGAAGCCTGATTCTATCTGAAGCTAGTTTTATCTCCTTATTTATTCATCTTCATGTCCATTGATGCCTTATCCTCTTCTTTTTCGTTCCTCCTTTCAACTGATCTGGAAGCACCTGGCATGTGTTTTGATTGCTTCCTAATTACCAGCAAGGCCAGTGTAGTGTTTTTACCCGCAGTGGGAGAGGTGGCTCACTGTAAATGGAATAATGTGCTGTCACTGGCTTTTATGTACTGGGAAGGGAGGTATAATTAACGGCTAATTTTTAAGCCTATTTGTGCTAGTTGCACTCGAGAGGTCACCACATGTTGTGAGAAGAGCACCAACACTGCTCACACCGCCCTCGTGTCTCTATTAATGACACAGAAAGGCATAAGTATCAAGAGCCAGGCTGCAATGGTGCTGCTTGCATCGTTACACAAGTACCCTGACAGAGTGATGAAGCTGCCAGCTACAGACATCTCACTGCCAGCTTTAGGTTTCTCACTGCTAGCTTCAGTCATCTCACTGCCATCTTCAGGCATCTCACTCCAGCTTCAGACATCGCGCTGCCATCTTCAAGTGTCTCACTGCTAACTTCAGGTGTCTCACCGCCATCTTCAGGCTTCTCACTGCCATTTTCAGGCATCTCACTGCCAGCTTCAAACATCTCACTGCCATATTCAGGTGTCTCACTGCCAGCTTCAGGTATTTCACTGCAAGCATCAGGTGTCTCACCACCATCATCAGGTGTCTCACTGCTATCTTCAGGTGACTCACTTCCAGCTTCAGATGTCTCCCGACCATCTTCGGACATCTCACCACCAGCTTCAAGTATCTAACTGCCAGCTTCACATCCTAGATCTAAAAACACTTATTCAGAACATGGTTGCTGTGAGACTGTATGATGAATAGGTTTCTTTAAATTGTCCACTGTGGAATAGTTACTGTATTTATGTGCTACAGGCTGACTATCGCCCTCTACTGGATACAGTTGCATCCATGGATGCCATTGTCCTAATTCTGGTTTACCATGTTCCATGGTACCCGCACCCACGCAGTGGGCACACTCTTCAAGCCGCTGAAGCAAATAAATCACAACATACGGCACCAAAATTTCCTGCACTTTCCCTCCATGATGCCCCGAAGTGGTCTGGGTTAGTCATTACACCTTCTGTGCTAGTTCACCCCTTCAAAAAAGCCAGGCTTCAGTCTCCATGGGAATGCGGAAGGAGTCCCGGCCGAAAGCCGGACTCTGATTGGCTGTGAAGGCTCATTAGAGCAGATGTTAAACGGAGGCGCCGCTGGCGCGCGGACCTGCGATGACAGCTGTGGTGCGGCGGGCGAGCAGCAGCGTGTTTAGCGACAGTGCGCGGGGATACGGCGATGACATCGGCGATAGTAACACTTCTGCCCGCGGCCGCCATGGGAACGGGGACTGATAGCGGTGACAGAGTCAGGTGCGACGCGGGTGCATCGGCAGGGACATGGGTGGCGTCTGGAGAGGCTAATAAATCTTCGGGCGATGTGGAGCCGGAATGTCTAACTTTAATAGGAAGGGAAGAAGAACAGTCCGGAAGAAGGTCACAGACACTCTAATGGCGACAATAATAGGAGAAAACAGACGCGTAAATATATGGTCCTATTTTATAGAATTTAATAGGTTATTAGGTTAGTACCCAGGGCATGAGGCTGTAAAATAGGTTGTTTTGTGGTTATTAATAGGTTCTTCGTGACACATTTTATAATCTCACACACAAGGAGATGGCAGTGGTAAGTCAGTGTGATATATGCCCCGGAACAGATTCCACGTCTGGCTCCTCGGTGATGTAACGCCAGAATTCATTTAGAGGGATTT